GCTTCAACTCTAAGCAACTATGCACAGTGTTAGCAGCATAAATAAACACTTAAAATATTGTAAGATACGCAGACCTGTTGCGTCGATGAGGATAACAATGACATATAATGCAACCTAGACATTCGATAGTGACACTGCATCTGTACTGCTTCATGTTAATGGAAACTTCAGGAAAAATTCATCACCACTACTGGTGATCAAAAACATTGCAGCATTAAGTTTACAGTGCCAGTGAGAATGGCATAACAGACAGTAGATTGATAGTAATAGAGCTGACTAGATTCAGTTCTCATAATCGACACAATCCATGTGTATAATGATACTATACACTGAATTAATGCCCTAAGCGACACAGTAAGGAATTTAAACGAGTGATTGCCTTCTCCACGGCAGTGCACTTGCAATAATCATGACAACCACCTACGTTTGCTAGCCAAGCAGTCAGCTAAGTAGACAATGGCACAATATAAATAAAGTTGAGGTATTTTTTATACATTGAGTCCACATAACTCATATTGCACTACACTAAACAGTGCAAATATACATGAAATCCACTTAGAAATAACCTCTCAACTTACGATAATTCCTGTCCAAACACACACGGTGAGACACATCTACATGATTACTTCTATTCCCACAGAGGGTTCTGTTAGCATTTACAGGTGATTTCGCAGTACTGATAGAATTCTTTTGTCAAAAAGGACTGTTCTTCACACGGAAATAGGCTGAATTAATATCCTGAGACGTGAAGTCTCCATTGAATGATACCATGACGAAAGGTGTAGCATCTAAATAAAGTAGATTATTTGTGTAGATGAAATTACCTTCAACTATCCTATCTTTCTCACTATAGCGATATTTTGCTGCAGTTCGCCTGAAACACTGATCGTTGCAACCAATATGCTAGGGGGTGTCTCAGTCAGATTACATGACGCGGACACCAAAATAACAGGCCAGAAAATGGGAATTCTCATCAATCCAGATAACATATAACACAATTTCATTAAAAATTATTGACAAAAAAAAATTTCCAAGGGAAATTTTAACAGCGCTACTAGAACATGGCATTTAACGTCTACCCCAATATCGTTTTTATGGGTTAGTGAAAACCACTTTGATTTCTTTGTGCTCGCTTCTGGATTGTGAGATAAAGGATCCTGGTCTTCTGCGTAGTTCGTCCCACCACTCGACTGAAGCTGCTTTGGTTAACTCCACAGGGAGTGGGGCTGAGATTAATTATGTTATTTGTAGTATGCAGTGTGTTAAGACCGTGTTGCTACTGCGAATGGAGTTGATTCTCTCACCAGTTAGTCCTCCGGTATCGTCGTCAAAAGAAAGATAATAATATTAACAGATATGATTTGTGTATGTTATGCAGACCAAAGGACAGAAAAAGAAATTAGGAAAACATAAAAAAGACAGCAATTGAAATTTGAAGTTGATATATTTACATGTATATAATATCAGTAATAGTAGTCTAAAGGACGTCATAGTTGCAGTAGTCAGGAGAGTAAGACAAGAGAGAATATGAACAAGGAAAACGGTGAGTTTAAGATGTCTACCCAATAATAGTGAATGTGATTTTAAGGGGATAGACCGTTTGGACGCAGTCCTTGTTTCGCTACATGACTGTACAGCCTTCGCTTGAAGTTGTCCACGAACGAGGCTATAGCTAAATCTGCCATTAAAAGGTCTCAAGGACTTCAAATTCTAAGTGAAAAGAAACAGGAGCGTACTTGATTCTTTGCCCTTCGGTAGGCTATCCTTCGGGGATCTTCACGATGAAGCCAATATGTACTTAACGGCAGAACACCTTTGTTTGGTTGATCATGGTCATTCATAATCGCATAGGCAGTAGTCAAGTCCTCGTTAAGCCGTTGGTGGCTAAGTGTGAAGATACCTAGTGTCATTAGCAGTTCCTCATATGGTTTGTTTCGGAGACTCATCCCTCTATTGACTCTTTCCGAAAGGTTCGAGTCTCTTCTGAACAGTGAGAGTGCGGTGATATTGTGCACTTCAAGTTGTGATCTGATGTATGTTTTGTACAACCTAAGAAAGAGCTCAGAAGTGAATGCGCCTGTCCATGTGAAAGTGAATGACCACATATGCCCTCGCTACATCTCCTGTGTCCATTTTTTCCGTTAGAACTAGACCTAAGTCACGCTCCGACTTTGTTGTATTCAATAACAAAGGCGATGAAGCAAGAGACCCCTGTTAATGCTCCACTTACATGCATCTCCAGTATACTCACTTCTTCAAAGGAATTCATCAGATAATTTTCTATCACTCGTTCTGACGTAGTCACTTAGGTCACATGATTTACACTACTCTACTCGAAGAAAGACTTCTACCCTTCGTTGTGCAATAGTAATGCACTAGTTGAAGTTCGCCTATGTTGTCAGCTCAGTTGGCCACAACTGAGCTGGCGTAACTAGTGTCCTCGACATCGCAAAAGAAGAGTGAAGTTTGGTCTCTTGAACGTCAGAGGAATATGTGCCTTTTCTTATTCTCTATTAACACATATTGATTGCAAATAAGATAAAAGACTCTACTAAGACTTTCTTCATCATTCTGCCGACGCAGAACTTCAGCTTAAAATGCGAGGTCTATACAGTATAGGCACTGCAGTCAATCAGATATAGTTGGTGTTTTAAAAATTCAGGATTTTTGAATGGATTAAAAAGTCGGAAAACTATCTTCCTTGTGGTTTGGTAGGCTCTTTGTATCTACTGAAGTACATTGAGCATGAACGCACCCCTGTTTCTTTGACTAGTCACTTCACTTCACTAGTGAACTGAATCTATATGACACTACATACCGAACGAATTAGCAACTACTGTAAGATTGTCACTATGAGGACGATGACATAATGTATTTCACTCACAACACTAGAGAGACTGTGCCAAATTTTGAGAAGTTATCCGACATTAGGTTTTTGCTAGTAATCTACATACTGCGGCAGATCGCTGATTTCTGAGCTCATGATTTACCAAACTCCCAACTAGTTAAGCAGATTGTGATCACTTTCCAGTGAACCTAGTAGCCGCTACAACAGCAGCGTGAAGCGTATCAAATGCATCTAATGGAAACTGCCAATTATGCTGCTGCTGCAACCATAAGGTGAGAAATTGTCATAACGTCAGTGAACTGAAATAACCCCGTTGCCAATTTGTTATAACTGCACTGAACTGAATGAGAACCGTAACCACTTTGTTATGTCTGGGCCTGCCAACTATTGTTATAACGGTAATAACTGTAATGAACTCGACTTCCGATTCAGTGAGCCACGCAAATATCAAAAGACAAAGGCCGGCCTGTGACTGTAAGATGGTGTATTGTATTAACAATTATTAGGAAAACAACACATGGTATTCATAGATTTTTACAACAATAAAGACGGTTAACAGAGTTTGAAACAATTGATCGCACAATCGATCACAATATGCGCGAGAAATGACGATATGGTATTCTATGCGGGACCCTATCAGAAATCGACTTCACTGTGGAGCACAACTACGGTTATGCAACACTTGAGGAATTACATTAGATCAGCACATAGGAAATTTTTAAAATTTATTTAAACGCCAAATGATTTAATCGTAAGATGAAGTGAGATAACTTACTTTCCTGAAAATAGGAACCAAGTAGATGAAGTTTTGATTTCCTCTGGATGAGATGCGATACTAGCACCAGTTTTGTTGGAAAAGTTCTATATTCGGTAGAAAATAATTTTGTAACACATGAGTGTTAAGAATCTTTGACAGTTGCCTCCAGTTTTGCTTGACGTCAGAAATACATCCAAATTCCATTGGTATGATTCCTGTGAATGCTACACAAATGTCACCATCTTTCCTCACTTGTGTAAATCCAATTTGTCTCCATTGTTCTCGAAAGTACTTGGGCGATGCTAAATATCATGGACAGGTATCTGATAATAAAAGTTTGGATAAGGAGCTCATTATCTCCTTCCGTTAGTGAGGAAGACCAGATCTAAGTCTTTTGGATGGCATCTAGCTGTTTCTAATGTGTTATATAGTCTCGTGCAAGTTCGCAGCTTGGAGTCGTTGTTTGTTAGAGTCTATCTTTCTCTTCTAAACCATTTTGTTTGCTGAATTAACACTCCCAAAATATATTCTTCCTTTTGTCCCTGGAAAATTTCGTTCGTTGACCTGTGAACTCCTAGATGCATCACAGTTTTAACGAGTTAATTATCTGAGGAAAGGTTTCTGCTACAAGAAATTACTTATAAAGGATGTCAACTGGCAAATTAAATTGCAATACACGCAGTCCGGGGAGCTGAAACTTCACAACATTTTTCCTTGAAAACGGGAATTATTCAGACCATAATATTGATTGATTGACATCCAAAGTGGTGATCATGAAACCAGGAATGTTTGCATGGAACTATGTACTACTGACTGACTGGGATGAGTATTCACACGCAACCCATATTAAAATCAGTCTAGGTTTCATTGAGTAATTATATAACTGAGAATTTATCTGACGGAGAATTCATAATATTTACATAAAAAGCATAGCTACTGAACAGAATTTACTCAAAAAGGCCACTAAAAATAAAGGATGATGATGTATGGAAACTGTTTAAAACATCCATCGCGCTTCCTTATAGGGTGGTAGTATCTAATAGCTTGAGTAAGGATACCGTGTGCTGTTAAAAAAAGCATCTATTCATAATCGTCTATCGAATCTTCAAAAAATACAGAAAGCTTTTTCGGTCCTCAGTTAAAAATTTCGTATGTCATACGCGCTTTGACCATCAAACAATGAAAATGTTCACGTCACTATTCAGCGAAGTCACTTATATCCAGGATGGGTAACGATCGAGAAATTATTACAAATAAATCAGATTACTAATCTAAGATTCATTCGTAAGCTGATACTTTTTGGTTTTTTCCTTGTCGGAAGATTTGCATGATAGCAATTTTAGTATTATATTTAATTTACAACCTAAGGATTGGCAATTTGTTTTTGTGTCCTACATTTTGTGGTGGTGACCTACAGATGCAAAGCGGGGGAAATAAGTCATTTTAAACGGATCTTAATTTTGTTGGTACGCTGGAGGTGTTCTTTCTTGTTGTTTGTCTAAAGTATGTACTACTTTGTAACAAAGAAAGAGGATATAAACTGTAGTGCCACCAGATCACCTTGAATAAGCAGGTGTGTCACCAATCGCCAATGCTACCAGCTGTGTAAGTCGGGGGTTAGCACTAATGTTTAGATTAGGGGTAAGGGGAGAGCCCTTAATTTATATCCAACACGCAATAAGAATAATGGAATGTAACAATCCTTGAGTTTCTCAATAAATTCTACAATTTACGTATCTGTGCATGTGTTAACTCAGTAGGACGATTGTGTTACTGTCACCTCTAATGTCCCCCTGATTCTAGTCTTAATTTCTAAGCTTTTACCTCTGACCTTAATTCACCCCCTTAAATCAATAGTTGAAATTAAGTATAGTGACCCTTGAGAACAGTCAACCAGCTGACCTTGAACTAGTAATCAGATGAGTCGAATATTAAAAAGGTGTTTCATTTAAGCAGCCGTGTAGGATACTGAAGCCTGCGATAATGCTGAACACGCTTTGAAACGTTTGAATGTAATGAACATTATGTCTAAGTGAGACGGATGTTGTGTGCTGAACTAATGCGGTCAGTGGTAATAGATGCTAGGTGCTTATCTAATGTGATATCTTATATGTAGATTTCAATAAGTGACGACATCCTTTCGTGACCCATTTTAATCCCTCGAATCTTCCACTCTAAGTGCCTCTAGAGTGCTATGGAATTGCTATGCATCTGATTCAATGGATCGAGAAAATCGAAAAATCACTTAGTTGTAATTGTAACATGGTGTTGATGATTTCAGCGTTTGTAAACTTTATGGGACTGGTAAATTTTCGTGATAATATGCTTCACATTCAAACTAAACAAACCATCAAAAGTTTTGATATTATCGAAAGTAGATAATTACAGAACTCGTGCCTAAATTCTCTTGTTTGCTTCCTGCATCCAATAACTCACAGTATTTAACACCTTGAAAGGTGTAGCAGCTGGTAATTATCCTAACAGAAATTACACACTGTAGCTCATAAATTTAAAAAACCTCTTCACCTTAAACTATATAGATTTTTGGTATTTACATACACGTTAGTTAACACTGATAATGTTCTCATTGAAAACCAAATCCAATCGTCCACACAACCCTTGGTTGTTGATGCTATTTAAAGTATTGTGTCCTATCTCAATACTTTACTAAGTGATTTCCTTGAGCAGATATCGACAAGTCTCCGGAATTCCTATCCTCTGTCTCTTTATATGTCCTGAGCAGAATGCTGTTGTAGTATCCATGGATGCCTGACAGGTTTGACATTTTCATGGAATTGTTTAATGCACGTACATAAACTGTCGAATATACACTAGGCCAATTCCATTCCACAGGCAATGTATAAGTCAACAAATCATGTAAAATGTAGCTCTAGTCGTCAAGTATTTAAAAGTCATTACTTCACTTGTACGTGGCTACTGTTATACCGGTATATTGTACCAGATCCATATTGACTGGGTTAGTCAGACACCCAGTAGTTAAAAGACTCCATTTAAAATGAAATCATAATAAGCGATGTTGGGTGGGATCTCCATAGTGTGTGTATATGATTACCAATGCCTGTGTCAGTTTCCTCGGTGCATTATTTATTTAACGATGATTTTAATGCTTGTAGTTCAATTATTTAAGTTAATGGGATGCTGAATCATATCAGTCGAACATCCCAGCTGCTGGAAAAGTACTGTTTGAATTAAAATGGCTAACTTATCAGTTTCTGAAGAATAAAGCGTGCATAGATTATCTCTATTGTTTTGTAGGAGTTGGCCAAAACTCCGAGCGGTTTAAGTGATCATTAGTGTCAATCTATGGCTACCATATCCAAACACAAGAAGGTGAGGATGGTGAAACAGAAGCTCAAACTGTTTCGTGCAAATGAGCCACTGAAAAGTGTACTCATGTGGGGCATCAACTACTCATTTTCTACCTTAAATCATGTTAAACCACGTGCGCTATTGCTGAAAGATGATTTCAAGGCGCATATGAAGGTGAAAGTGAATAATCACTATTTCAACAAGTAAGTTTTGTTGCATTGTTTGTTGAATTGTCATTGTTTGTGTTTCTAGGGAAAATATGCCAAGTCGATTTAAGTTTAAAGAGTATTGTCCAATGGTGTTCAAGTCGTTGCGAGATCGATTTGGAGTTAAGAAACTGGATTATTGGGTAAGTGTGAGGGGAGTCGCTCACGTTGTTCTGTGGTCATTTAGTTTGGTTTGTTGTAGTATCTTTGGGGACCTAAATATGATCACATTGAAGTGTGGTCAACGAATCTCTTATGAGTAATACAACTTGTTTTGAGTTGTGGGTGTTGGTCAACAATTTAGTTGATAAATGCTGTAGTTGGCTGGCCGTTTGACAAACTGTACAGGGAGAGTTTTGCTTGAAATAGTGTGTCGTCTGAATTCATGAAGTATATATTTATATAGATATTTTAGTTGTACAAGTATTGAATTCAATCCTCAGTGTATTTACATTTCTGAAAAAAGGGCACAAGTTCGGTCGTTTAGTTTGTAGGGGAGTATGGAATCAGTACGCCATATTGCAGCCTTCATTTAGTGTTCCCTTTATGAATGAATTGGCTTCGAACTGTATGCTGGGAAGAATCACATGATTTGGTAAAGTATGTATTAGGTATGGGTGATTGTATATGCACCAGAGTGAATTTTATCGTACTTTCAAAATAATTTCCGACTATATTGTTTTCCTATCGGTAACAGAAGTCGTGATTGATAGGAATATTCCTTTCTGGCCGTCTGTAACTTGTTGAAACTTCCCAGTATACACTCAAATAATCTCTTATCCTTTTGTCATGTGCTCTACAATTCGTGTAAATCGTTGGCTAGGAACAGTACAGTGTAAGTTAATATCATTTTCATCTACTTATCACACTAGTGAGACTGTCATTTTGTAACTTATCCGACAGGATGCTTTCACGAGATATCAACCATTATGGGATAGTACACGAGGTAAATCTGGTTCGAAGTTTCTGGTCACCTACAACCGTCAATTCGTGGCGAAAACGATCAGTTCAGAAGAAGTGGAACAAATGCATCATATGCTAGAAGAATATTATTCTGTAAGTCTTTGTTGTGAAAGATTTAGCAGAGTATATTGTTTGTTTTCGAATTGATGTATTTTTAGCAAAGAATGTACTGGTTTCAGTATTCACATTCGATCACAATGAAACTAGAAAGCTGGTTATAAAAGTGCAGATGAAGTGTGAGTTGCAAGTTATTCCGATATCGTCACTCGTAATATGTATGCTTGCGAGCATTCTAATCAGTTAGTTTGCATTTATGTGGCTGTAATTAGTACTCGGTGACTTTTTGGAGTGGTGGTATTTCTCTGCCTCGTTCGCTCATGCTCTGTCAAACATGTCAGGTTCTCCTACAGGTCAAATGTCTGACTTTGGTATCGTTAGGGGGATTGGTCTTTCAACTGTATGCCTGTTAGTGCAGTTCTGCTTGACGTTGTCATAAGATTAGTATGGTCAGAATTATGATACCGCAGTGTATCTATGGTACAGATGTGTGTTTCTGCCATCAGGACGTCTGCTATCGTATCAGCTGTTTCATGTTACTTATCTGGCGTTTTCGATGTTTCCTCATTATGTGTTGAGTATTTCTTTTAAATGCGAAAAGCACTACAAAGATGAGCTTTCTCTGTGTGTATTCGACCTCACACAGACTGTGTTTTGTCTGCTATACATTTGGAGCTTCGATACTTTATAATCTTAAGTATATAATTACTAGTCTTATTTGAGTAGATTCAGTATGTCTTTTAGTGGTGGTGAGGGAAATGTCATATTCGGCGGATTGGGTTATTCTTGTTTTGACATCTTGGATGATAAAAGCCGACAAATATCAATGTGCCATAACCTGAATTTGGTGTATGCGAGTTGGAATTGACTGTGTTGATGCATCGAATTGTGTCTATTATGATACAGTTATGTTGAGTAGAATTCTCTGCAAACTTTGTGTGTGTGTGAAGCATATCTCAATGTTTCGCTAAATATGGTGGTCAATTTATCCTCAAGGTAGCACGTAACAATATCGTGTTGCATGTGAATGGATTTATTTAAGGTAAAGTGTTTTTTCTCACAGGGTGGATAGAAAACAAATGTACATGAACCTTAGCAGTTCATATTTAGTTTTTCGAAAAACGTTGAGGTGTGGTATATTATAGAATTTGCGTTAGAAATTTAGGTCAGTGCCTGAATTATAGTTGAGAACAAGATTTTCTCAATAAAATCCTACGTTGTGATAAGTTGGCACTTAAAGTCATTATCTTGTGAGTAGCACAGCAGCTAATCTGCCTTGGATTGACTGAGGAATGTTTATTATTTACGAGTCGAGATCATCAAAAGGTATTTTTGAGTTCTTTATTGTACATGGAAAACTTAGTATTCACATGTTCGATAATTATAAATGATGTGCTTCTGTGTGTTTCCGTATTTTCAGTATATTGTCAAAGGACATGGCCAGACGTTGCTTCCTCAATACTTAGGACTTTATCGACTCACTGTGAACGACCAAGAGACGTATATCCTTGTTATGAGAAATGTGTTCAGTCCGAGACTGGCTATCCACAAGAAATATGACCTGAAGGTATGACTTGTGAGATTACTTTGTTTGATTTATGTGCATAAGAGGCGTGAATTTATTTTAAGATGGAGGTTTGTGTGTTTTTACGATGACAGGTGCAAGTGATTTTTGAGTGCTCATGTACTTTTCACATTTTTATCTTATAGAATATTGTGTTTCCAAGTCATCAACCGAAACGTTCTGTAAGTGTTCATTCATTCATCCCCCATGGATCGAGTCAGTTATCGTCTTCCGAAGATCACCCTGATAAGCCTGTGTTAGCGATATTCAAAGAGCATAGACGTTATCCGCGGATTAAAAAGTATTCAGTACAGAACACAACAGGTGTATGTGATATAAGTGTAGTTATACTGGCCTACTGTTTCACCCCTCCTAACCTGTTTTGTGTTGTGAGCTATTGCCTTCTAACACTGTCGTATGCTCCTACTATGAATGAAGTAGCGTGTATATTTTGAGTTCGTACTTGTAGGCTTTTTAGTGTGTTTACAGGATACGTCTAAGAGATAATTTATTTTTAGTTTCCAGTGTGTTGCATGTACCTACACCACTTGCTTATCGAGAGTTGATGTTTCGTTTTGAACACATATTTTCACGTGTTTGGATGACTTGGACGAGTGTCGATTGGTGGGAGTCAGTTCTTTTTGTATGTGTGCCGTGATGGTATTGAGATTTCACACCTATTCTGGTTTCGAGCTTTGCTGTGTCTTCTGAGTTTGGCTGCCTAACACCTAACCCCAGTTTGCTCACCGACTTCCTGACATATTTGATTTTGAAGCTAATAATCCTACTGACAGACTAACGTGTTTCACTGACACGTAATAGATAAATAACGCTTACTGTGAGTAACAGAAGGATGAATGACACTGTCTACTTTGATTCTTTCACAGCTGAATTGTTTTTCTGGTGTAAGTTTGATTTTGTCATGTGAGAGATTCGCAGGCCATTTTGCTTGTGTGTGTTTACTGATTGATCTAATGACACTCACTGTTGGTATTTGCTTTTGAACTGATCACTCACTACACAATTTGATTTTATCATATTGTCTGGGAATTCTCTCAGTGGATGTCGTGTTCAGGTGGTTATCAGATTGTCCAAAACATGGATGAACAAGTTGTACACTCGCACCTGTGAGTAGCTGCACCCCGTTTCCTATCACACATGCGCGTTACATGTATGAGTCGGCCACATTAGGTGAGGAGCTACGAAATCTGGTTGTCATGAGGTGTAGGGCAAGTGTTTATCTAATTTTCAGTTGGCTTTATTGTACAAATTACGAAATGTTATTTCTGTTTATTGACAATAAGTGAAGCAGGTTCGTAGTTGACGGAAATGAAATTACAGCCCAAAGTAGTCTCATGTAATAAGTTCAATATCGGTCTCAGCAGCGGATTCTCTTCCCAACTGTCAAATGCATGACTGGCCTTTGGTTGTCTATATTAAACGAAAATCCCCAATTTCTTAAGCCTTCTACATGTTTGGAGAGATGTGTGTAAATAACTTGCGTCGCTAGTAATTTGCAGTATAGAAAACGTGTAGGTTATTTACGTTTCGGAAACGATTGATCACCATATTTTTCTCATGGTCCATTCCTGTGTGTGTACACATAAATAATTTTTGAGAGGAAGTCATAAGACTTTTTGTAGTATGTTTTATTGTGCTGAGTGACAGTTTGGCATAGATAGATGTAACTGGTCGATAGCGATGTGAAAGTGTTTATCGAAAAGTGTTTTGACCACAATACATCCCTCATAGTCATATCCTTTCATATGATTATGAAAAACAAATTGTGTTAGGACAGAGAGAACCAGACGAATGTTACATCTTCAATATGTCAGTGCTTAACATTGTTACCACTTTCCAACTTTATTTCCTGATGTTACTCAATAGGACTGAGATGTAGCATTATGAGAAGCAGGTCCAACCCATTCTACACAATGACAACATCAGTCTATGTTCAGCCATTACCAACCTTCAATTGAACGGAATGTTTCACTTCCCTGTACAACTAATATTGCTGTGAATGTTTTCTGTAGTTATATAAGGTGGTCTTATGTGTAGTGACCTTTAGGATTGAAAAGAGTTTGTTTTTCTCGGTCTTTGTCAACAATTCTGCGTGTACTGAACGTCTTTCTTGATGTCTGAATAACAAGTCAGTTAGTCTATGATATTACTATCGTTGTCCTCATAATTAGGGTTCAGCTGTGGATCGCGAAGCTAACGAAAAAGAGAAGGTGAGTCTGACTAGTTTTCATCGTCGTTGTCACTATCATGATTGTATTTACTGTCATGACGTTCATCTGTGTTTAGTATAAGTGTCACTCACTTGTGTGTGTGTGTGTGTATGCATGCCTGCTGACCATTCGTGCACATTTTACTTGTTTCCATCACTGTCCTAATTTTGATGTTAATGAGGTTGACATGAAGGTAGATTGTAGTAGGTGAAATAACTTTGTTGAAGTTAGTTTTGTGTGGAAGAGATTGGAGACCGTGTCTAGTAGACGGTATATGTAGTCACGTGACTGACTCTGCAGTTCTCATGTAGAAATGTGGTATTTTGCTGTGAATAGTTTCTCCGGTTCAGCTACAGTGATAGTTATACTCACAACAACGGTGCCAGATTGTGATGGGAATAGGTCAGTCGCTGCCTTCGGTGACCAGTCACTTATCATATTTTACATAGTTTGTCAATCAGTTGGTTGCAGTAGTTGTCAGTTCTAGCTGGTGACTTTAATGCTCAAGTAGGGAAATTGTGTCGATATCAGAAGGATGTCGGTGGCACATACGGAGTTCCGTGCCAGCGAACCGACAACGGTGACCGTCTCCTACAGTTCTGTTCAGATAATCACTTGTTTCTTGTAAGCACTAACTTCAAACACAAAGTGAGACACTGTTTGACCTGGCGACCTCCATCATCAAACCAACGCTGGACACAAATAGACCACATAGCATTAAGCTATCGTTGGCGTGGGTCAGTAGGAGATTGTCGCTCCTTCTGGAACACGTGTGTAGATACCGATCACGCACTGGTCCGCGCTTGTATGTGCTTACGACTGAACGGACGCAGCAAACAGCTAGCGGTAAACCCATCACGTCCTCAGGTCGATCAGGAAACTAAGTCCCTATTTGAGTAAGAACTAGCTAAACACATATCTGAGTTCGACAGCTGCGCTCACCCTGAAGAAGCCTGAAAGAATATTCAGTCAGCCATAGATACAGCTGTAAAAGCTGTGAATAAGGTAAATCCAAAGGTGAGTAAAAACCATTGGATTTCGACTGCCTCATCCGAACTGATAGATGCTAGAAGACTTATTCCGGCGAGCTCCGAATTCAATGAGGAGCAAAAGCTGCACAAAAGGAAACTTACGAAAAGCCTCCGCAAGGACCGTGAACAGCGGTGGGTGACAAAGGCGAAAGAGATGGAGAAAGCATCGGCGATAGGCAACACTAGGCAACTGTCTAGACTTCCCAGGGAGACGGTTGGGAGAAGGCAAATCATAAGTGAGACTATTTCTGAGAAAAATGGCTCCTTAATTAGCTCTCAGAATAGACGCCTTGAATGCTGGAAAGAACATTTTGAGGAACAATTTAACTTGCCTACAGCCACACTAAATCTCCCCGCCATCCAACACACACCCGAATGGGATATAGACACTGGCCCGCCCTCTGTAAGTGAGGTTACCAAAGCTATCTGTAATTTGAAACGAGGCAAAGCGGCAGGACCCGACGGAATTATTCCGGAGGTGTTTAAATGTGGGGGTGACATACTAGTATGTAGATTAACTAAGGTACTAGGTAACGTCTGGGAATCAGAGACTGTTCCATTAGACTTGGGTAAGTCACTTATTATACCGATATTCAAGAAGAGAGACAAGTCCTCATGTGAGAATCATCGGAGGATTAGCCTAACGAACATAGTCTCTAAAATCCTAGACTCAGTAATCATGCACAGACTAAGCCGAACTTGAGAGGAACAAACGAGAGAAAATCAAGCAGGCTTTAGGACAGGTAGAGAGTGCATAGATCATATCTTCACTCTCCGACAGATCCTAGAACATAGACACACTTTTCGGCGTCCAACAATTGCCATATTTCTTGACTTGAAGGCGGCCTTTGACTCCGTGGATCGAGAGGTACTATGGCAATGTTTGACTGTGAAGAGAGTGCCAAGAAAGTACATTGCAGTAATCAAGGCACTCTACTCAAACTCACGTAGCCGTGTAAGGGCTTATGGGGAATTTTCATCTGAATTGATAACAACCAGTGGTGTCCGTCGGGGATGTCCACTTCCCCCTTTTCTGTTTAACTTCATCATAGATATGCTAATGGAAGTATCCTTAACTGAACTTAACGACTTAGGAATCGACTTGTTACCAGGGAACTTAGAATATGCAGATGACATAGTCATGTTAGGGGAGGATGCTGACAAAGTGCAGAGTCTTCTGAACACCTTGAGCAGCAATCTTCGTATGTTCGGCATGCAATTCGCCCCTGTAAAATGTAAGATGCTGCTACAGGACTGGACTACGTCAACTCCTAGCTTAGTGATAGGGAGTGAAGTGATAGAACATGTTGACCACTTCACCTATTTGGGAAGTTGTATCAGCAACTATGGACTGATTGGCGACGAAATCTCAGCACGGATCCAAAAAGCTCGAGCTGCTTTCGCTAACTTACACCATCTCTGGTGTAGACGTGACATCCGACTATCAACCAAGGGACGTGTGTACTGCTCAGTAGTTCGCTCCGTCCTTCTCTATGGCTCTGAAACATGGCCAATACGAGTTGAAGACATGAAAAGGTTGACTGTTTTTGATCATAGATGTCTACGATCTCTTTCTCACGTTAGGTGGTATAATAAAGTAAGTAATGTTGACATTAGGCGTAGAGTGTTGGGCAAAGATGGAAAATCAATCGAAGAGGCAATAAAGTTACATAGATTGAGGTAGCTAGGTCACGTGCTGCGCATGCCTAACCATCGCCTCCCCCGACGGACGGGCATTACTAGCTGATATAGACGCAGGTTGGAAAAGAGTAAGTGGTGGCCAAACAAAAACATGGCATCAATCAATCCATGAAATCCCTGACAGTTAAACTGGGTCAGGTAGGGAGATGCAGACTTCCGGGTTGGGGCCCTCGGGACTCTAAGAATCAATGGCTGGAGACAATAGGTGACATGACTCAAAATCGTTGACAATGGTTTACGCAGATGTATTCAGTCTCTGTAATCTTTCATATTCCTTTCTACCATTACTCATTCTGTTTCACTCTTATACTTGTCAAAACTCTATTGATTCTCTTCACTCATCTTCTTGTCTACCTTGTGTGCTATTTGAAACGTGGCAACTCGAACTGTTCCACTTCGGTGCTAAGTTCTATGTTGAATCCAGACAGCCAGAGACAGTTAGTTGGAATGAATAATCTAGGTGCCTCTCTTGATATGGCTCCGTTTATTAATACTTTAATTCTGACATGAGAGTCATTCATGTAGCGATGGTGAGATGTATGAATTAGAGTATTGTGAACTCGGAGTATTCGCTGAGAACGTGGGAGAATGTGTGCATGATAAGTTTGACCACATCAACTAATCATTTGTTGTATTCCAGTGTTTTCTGTGAATACGTTGTGATGTTTTGGCTGATCATTTTGTGTTATTGTATAAAATTATAACTGGAAGTCTGTTGTTTTGTGTCTTATGTTATTTGTGTTGTGTTTACTTGGAAGCAACCCTCCCCCGTTGACACTGTTGCCTGACATTTCAGTTTTGACGTAGTGGTTTTTGTGTAGATGCAAATGTGTGCATGAGTGTGTGTGTGCACGGTGAATGTGTGTGACTATTTCCCTTTTTGAGAGGTTGCTATCCTTATCATATGCCTATTGTTCACTGTATTTACAAGTTTCTGTCTGTGTATTTCTGCTAGATTGACTTTAAGCAATAAACACCACAGTTGAACGTGTTACATTTCTTGTCTCCATGTCAAGCGTGTGATTTTATACGTGGTGGCTAGTGGTATAGGGTGGTGCGGTAGTGATTATGGTGAGCGACTGTTATGCGTCAACGCAGTTGTACTTATATGACAGTTGACCAGAAACAACTATCAAGACAAAATGAAGACGATAATTCGATTGTTCATAACGAAATGTATGTTTCAGGATTAATGATACGGAGTGGAAATGCTTGGTTACCTGACTGAGGATCGTGCATGGACGATTGGACGTAAGATGACAGCATGGTTCTCAGTAAAAGTGCTTGACCGTATGTATGTCTTCAGCATAACTAGTCCAGGAAAACAGTAAATGTCCGCACTCAGTGTCGAATGTCGGTGCAGCAGTAGGCTGTTGATTTCACATTTTGCTAGTGTTGAGTGGTATTTGTTTTCGAAGCTATGGAATTAGTTTAGCAGTGAGTGGTGTTGACATTTTTCAGCTGAGTGAATGTTGAAGAAAGTTGTTGGCACCAGTATGGAATTCTTAAGCATAGGTGTATGCATTTGTCAGTCAGCTCGTGATACCTTGCGCCATGGATCTAATGTAGTGTAGGAAGTAAACGTAGGTGCAACAGTCTCCATATCAGCCAACTGATATTAAATATGTTTGTGTAACGTGCATTTGTCAACGTTGGATATGATGTAGATGTTGAAAAACTTGAACTAGTTCCATTCATAAAGTTGAGTAAGTCTATGAAAATTGGTCTACAGAGTAAGTTAGATCCATCGGGCGTTGTTGAACCGAAGTTTAGCTATCTTTTGATGCGGAAGCTATTCTCTTTGCGTTACCCAGTCTCATTGACTACTGGATAGCAATGGCGTCCAAACAGCATCTTAGTGTTTGGTGGCATTGAAGAGATTATTTTGAATACACACTTCCACAGAGTCTCAAGTTGTGTTTGGTTCACCATTTGCTTGAATAATTTCCAGCGTAAATCCGTCTGTGGGGTACAATGCACAATACATCAAAATAACTGATTGACCTTATGTGAGTCCATTCCCACCAGGTAATGGCGTGCACCTTTTAGTCGAGGAAATGTAACATTATTGATATGGATGCACAACTACTACTGTCATCATTTTGTATGAATAGTCCTCCTTATATTCAATTTATCAACTGTCGCGTGATATTTCCTAATCTCGTATTGATCGATTATGCCATTGTCATATCCGTGGGACGATTACATAGAACTTTCTCATGTGAATTTATTGGGATTAGTTGATATTTGATGAAATCGAATTGATTACTACTTCTCTGTCAGTTACCTTTTGCTTCTCAATATTAAATTGACTCGGCTGCCATCATAGATTGAATTGGCGAATTGAGGGGAAAACTTCTCCGATGTCATACACACGTTTGACAACGCATAAGATCGAATCCGAGGTGTTTAGGTCTCACGAGAACGCGTTAATGCTAGACAGTTAGAATGGAGTGATGAGTGTTTATTTCTCGTCTTCTCGTGTGTTGATAGTACAGCGTGACATTCTGTTTAGTGGTATTTTTGTTTGCTGTTCACAGGTCAATGTATTACAGTAGAACGACAATAAGCTTACTTTGAAGTAGATGTGACATAATGCACCCTCCTCGGAATTCACAAGCGACTTAGTAACGAAATCGTCTTGTTTGTCTACAGCCTTGTATATGTATGATGACGAGAGCAACATCAGATCCATTGTTATCATGCAAGTTAAGTTGAAAAAGAGTAATCTGTCCTTAAACTGACCCTTTTTTCTTTAATCAATAAAATGACTTGAATTTTTGAGACGAATCAGATTAACTTTTGTTGAATGATTACTTGGACTAGTTGGAAACGATATTTTACGATAAGCACAACAGAGAATGTTACTATTTTGTTGATAATGAGTACTGATTAACTAAAATAAATGTTAATTGGCCTTGTATTTGCTGTGAGTATGAAACATAGGTGTGAGCATGAGCGTGCGGATTTATTTCACCATTGAAATTGATAAATTCCATGTGGTATTCTCAGGGTCAAATTTTATTGAGGTGAATTGACTTTACCAACTAACAGTTTCAATATTTATTTAAATAGGTGAAGTGTTTAGCGTGTCGTTTGCGCCTACGGTTTTACGACCTTTTGTCCTTCGATCCGTCTGTGTGCACATCAATATCTCTTCATTGTACCATGGTCTGGAATTGCTCCGTACCTACTGGATTGTATTCTTAGTGAAGTAGAGTATGTGTTGAAGTGATCTTAGATACAGGAACCGTGTTATTGTGATTGGGTAGTTAACAACGTCATTGAATGTGTATTGTGTACAGGTGCTCACTACAGTTGACGAAGGAATAATGTTTGTGTATGGGATGTGTTGATTATCCCTGAAATGTTCCAATTAGTTGTGATTTGAGAATCCAACAGGCCTTTTGACATTCGACTAGAAAACGGTGTATGTTCGTAGATAGTAGTTGTGGTGCTTTTTCATTGTGTAATAAATTTACATTGGTATTCGGATTTTTGTTGGGTCGTCCGTAAGTACGTGATAACTGAAGAAGATGTCAGACAATATCTTTGAGTAATTAGTCCTTCAGTTTGAAGTTTCATAACTTCAATATTTCACAGATGTTTTAAAGTTACAGTGGATACTGTATCTACCTAAAGTGTTGCAGCATCCGCGGAACATCAGGTGAGAGAACTCCAGTTATAATCCTCTCCAGCTGAAAGATGTAATTTTGATGTTCGTTTTCTATCTATAGCTGTGTGTATGCTTTTTGAGTGTTATTTGTTTTGTGGGATTGCCGTTTAGTTGTGGCAGGCATAGTTGTGTGAAGTGAAAGTGAATGCTTTGAACGAGGTGCATGAAGAGTGTGATGATGCACCTATATTTGAAGTGAATTGAAGTGATTGTGTTGTGTTGGTAGCCTACACTCTGTTCGTCAGTTATATGTATATATATATTTTTTGCCTTTCTTTGTGTTGTAATTTTACAGTCGAAGCCGTTGCCGACGCTGAAAGATGCTGATTTTCTGACTGATATATGCAAGATACACATTGGTGAAGAGGCGAAGAAGAAGCTGTTGAGCACTTTGGAGTCTGATATACTGGTGAGTGACAAATGGTTGGATGTGCATGAGTTTGTTGAGGTCAGTTTTGCGATTAGGTGACGCAGGTGATCCGTTCATGTTGTCATTTGTTTATTGATACCAGTCGGATGTGGCGTTAGTCCTTGGAACCGTTTTGTTATTTGTAGGAACTTCATAAGTAGTGTCGTGTGAGTGAGTGAGTGAGTGAATACAGTCACATGCGACAATACGAATGGGTACCTTAAGCAATCGACGAGGTGCAGTACGAGTGATGATTGGTGAACCTATTTTTGTTGCATGTTTGTCGATGAAATGTTCATTCTCTCTCTCTCTTCCTCTCCTTTGTTTCGACTATTGGATTACTAATTTTCCATCTGTGAATCTTATCGATGTATTTTCTGCCTTCGAGTGTTAGAAACTATATTCACATTCAGCTGTGTGCTTTTATTGATTTCCCATATTGGTCGATGCTTTTCCAGCTATCGAATCAACCAATGAGTCATAGAATGCAGTGGGTAAATTGAGGGACACAAATGTGGTGCTTGATGTGATACGGAATAATTTGATATAAAACATCAGGAGTCAGTTTAATTGAGGGGAATTGATGTATTCTTTTGAGCCGTCGTCTTTCTCTAGTGTGTTTCTCTAATTGTTGTAATTTCTATTTCAATTGATTTTATTGCTGTTGCTCTACTCGTCATCACTGGTTGAAATTCTCCATTGAAAGTGCTCACGTGCATATACTTATAGTAGGAGGTGTTGATTGATGAGCTTTTTGACATCTAATCGTTCGATGAAGCACGCACGAGAAACACTCATGTGGATGGATGGCTTTTAGAGGGCACCTCTCATACTTGTTGAATTTTAAGAAGACGTGAAAGCACAACTCTTGTTACATTTTATTCATTCGTGGTAGAAATAATTGCGTAGACGAGTGAGTGTCACGGGTTTGTGACGACAGTGTTGACATCATCTGATCATTGTTCAACTATCTCGTCTCCTTTGATCATATGAATGAATGTCTGAGAAAGGACAAAAAGTGGAGGCAGAATAATAATAAGAAGAAGAGGAATGTGTATTGTTTTCGAGTGAATAGTTTTATTTTCACTGGCAAAGAAGGTCATGTGAAAGGCATATTTTTCGTGTTGGTATAATGATGATACTTGAAAATGAGAATTGTTTAGTTTCTTTTGTAACATTGTGGTTACGTGCATATACATGTGTATGTGTGTGTGTGTGTGTATTCACTCACAAGTTGTTGTCACCATCGCCATCTCTACGGTGTGTTTACAAGACTTGAAACAGTTGGACCGACTAACATGTACGAAGTTAACCAGCGCAATATGTATTCACTAATTAACTTTGTGCTGAATTGGAGCGTTCTCTTTCTATTCATCTGACTCCCTCTTACTGGTGATGTTTATTCGTTTACTGTGGGAGCTGGTCATGATTACGTGCAAGTTGAACTCTTAGTGACGATGTGTCTTAGCAAAGTCCTATAGTTTTTGTTTGTTTCTTTCACATTGGCGATCATTACTTTGCCAGAGGGCAGCACATGTTTGACGTTTGATTTGTTGTATGAATGTGAGGTGTGGAGAACTGATTTATGTTCACAATGGAAAGAAGCTGATGCAATACATTTCCTAACACAAAGTCGCATATCTTTTCAGTTCACAATGTTTGTTGTTGTGAATGGATGTGAGGAAACTCGGATTAGTGTCACCGGAAACTGCATTACCCAGGTTAAGGTGTTTCTGAAGTGATGTGTGTTGAAAGAAGGTTAGGTTACACCTGTAGATTCTACACTGAACGTCCCCACAAAGACTTACGTGTCTATGTGTGTGGTACTTTTTACAGCGTATCGGTGGGATAATCATAGAGCATCACTTCGTTGTGTGTAAATTCTCTTGAGAATGGTAGGCAGGTAATCTGATTCGCGTTTACCCTCAGTGTGAAATTGATCTCAAGTCTTTGTGACTCTGTATGCGTTATTTCCTCCACACGTTTCAATGAATGGATAACTTGTGTGTGTTTCGTAAATGTTGTTTTTGACAGTTTTTACAAGAAAACAATTTGATTGATTACAGTCTTCTAATCGGTGTCCACGATCCTGAGATTGCATTGACTACTTCACATGAGAATGATGGTGATGACGTGGAAGGGACTGGTGACTCCGTGTTGGATGCTAATCGAGCGTTTGAGGATAAGGTTGTGTCAGCAGGAGATGGTCTTGGGACACTTGTATCACACGGTCAATATAACCATCCGTCGACGACGAGATCGAGTATTGCGTTTGGCTTGGCTTCATCGGGTACTGGTGGTGTTGGGACTGGGAATGTGAGCACTGGTGATGACGATGACGATGAAGAGGAAGGAGTTTTGATACCGGACAGCAATGCACAAGTGCCTCCGAGTAGGTTGTGTTGATTTTCTCTCTTGTGTTTTAAATGGTGGTATGCTTCATACTTTTTGTGATTTGTGTATTTGTTCATTTTGTGATTGGTAGAGAGTAGTAAGTAGTAGGTCATATGGATAGAGTGTGGATCCTCTTGGATGTCAGTGTGACTGTGTTTGTGGTGTGTTAGTGTGTAGTTTCGGGTGATAGAGTAAAATGAACCTAAGATTTGTAGATTTCTCATCAAACACTTAAGATATACAGTGGGTGAACTACGAGGGTTTGACTTACGTTTACGAGTACTGACGAGTATGTTGGTTGTCGGAATGAGCAGTCTATTTACTGTTGTTGGTTTGTTTTGTGAAAGTCACTCAGGAATCCACGATAGACATCTCACACTTTAGCATTTTGTTGACTGTCGTTGTAATTTGATTGTCACGAGAGCCATTATAATCACATTGTTGACGTTTGTTTCGACGATGTAAAAATCGGTATTTCTTAGTGGTAAGTAACAAGTTGTTCACAAGTCAGTCAGCGACATTCAAATTGGAGTGTGTGGGTCTTTGTGTGTGCAGAATGCAGTGTGCATGCTTGTTAGTGGGCTGTAATTACGAATGAAAAGCCGTGTGGTGTGTGTGTGTGTTTGAATGATTAACGAGTGAACATGGAATTGGTTAGTGCATTGGTTTCAGGACATGGTGGAGTGAATTATCACAAAGTCCTTGTTATTGTTATTGTCAAGATTGTATTATGCTAAGTGTGTAATAATAATAACAACAATGATAATAATAATTATAATAAAATAATATTAGTAATAATAATAATGGGTGTTTACATGAAGTGTGTTTTTTAATTGTGTTTGTAAGTGAAGTTGTGAAGTGTTACAAGCTGACTTTTGTGAAAGTTTCACTTCCTACCAAGTGAAATAGAACAACTTGAAGTTGTTTGATTGTTCTAGGTGTGATTTTTCTCTAGTTAGTAGACAAGTGTTCCTCACACGTGGTTTTACTTCATTGTTTTGTGTGTGTGTGTGTGTGAATATTTTAGACGATTTAACTCCACCGGACAGTCCACCCGGAGCGATTTGTCTACCTCAATTGTTTTCAGGTGATCTGCATCCTAGTTTAGAATGCTATGGAATCAAAGGTTCAACCGGTAAGAGTGTTAATATTCTCAGTTTTTCTTTAACCGCTTTAATTGTTGCACTTTCATTCTGAGTGGTGGTTGTGCTTTGACAGAAGTTGTTCATTACGAATGATGAGTGTTGTAGAGTCAGTCGACAGCAATTTGATCAGTAGTGCTAATAATTGTGTAGCGCCATATGTAGGTTGTTCAAATAGGGTGTGGGGGGGAGGAGATTCAGCTAAACGAATCTGTACAGATTCATGTATTACTTAATTGGGTGAGTGGTAAATGTGAAGGTGTGTGTCTGTGTGCTCATTATTGTATCAGTGGATTGTGTTCACGTGTAGTAATTTCGGAGATCTCTGTATGGCTTCTAGGAGAACAGACTATGGATTTGTTTCTTCCTACATGTTATTATGATGCATGAGTGGCGGATACTGGAGGCTACATAGGTGGGAGTATTTAGTCATAGATCGGTTGGCTCAAACATTGAGAAGTTGACTGTATGTTTGACGGTTGGATTATCCACACTTAAGCTACTCTGTGCTCATGAAAAATGAGTCACAATCAAGTCTGATAATGTGTGTCATTAACATATATGGGTATTATCGTGTGAGACGGATTTTGTGATTTTTTATTTGCATATTTGTGAACGACTGTCTCTGTTAGGAGTCTGTGTGTTCACTGCTAAACAGTGTTTGCTTAAAATTTGTCTATTGTGTGTACACTCAGTACTTTCATGATTATTGTGT